AATCGAGGATTTGGGGATTCTTTTGGAGGAATGGGTAAGTTATACTCTCACTTCAGTGAGGCTGTGAGTTCTACTGCATCGTGGTATAATCGAATTTGCATCAACTTGCACTCTTCTTTAGGTGGAGGCTTTGGAGGAGGCATGGGCAGTGGTGGCATGGGGCACATGGGAACTGGATTAGGCACAGGTTAGGAAAAAAAAATCTTAATACACAGAGTTTCAAATGATCATTTTTATAGCAGTTCGTCAGTAATTAAAGGTACATGAGACTCCACAACAGTACTCTTACTTAAAGTTTGGGCTGCCCCAAATCATCATTTCCTTCCAGTAATTAATATATTTAGTTTTTTCCAAGTATGACCCTTTTGGTAAAATGTAACTCTTTTACTTGAATTTAAACAGTGTAAATTGATAAAAATGAAAAAAATTAAAAAAAATGAAACAAAATTAACAGGATTTCCTGCTATAACATAAGTAACATCTCTCATATCAGGCTTCCTAAAGGATAACATTTGAATAGAGGAACAGAAGCTTAGATCTTTATGGCTGATTACAGCAACCTAATCTCCTGAACTGTCATACACTTAGCAGTGGGTGTGGAAACGTGTGGTCATGGTTGTCACACAGATTAAGAAAGTAGTTTATTAATACGTCTTACTTATTAAGAGTCACAACAGACTCGGTCACCACACGCATTTTATTTTTGGTAACATAAATAAAGAATAAGATATAACAGTTTTTTTTGTATGAATTAGATTACTCTAAAACAGTGAGGAGTTACAGAAAAATAGAAGAGTTAAATTCTTTCTTTGTGTGTGTCACTCATATTTGTGGAAATGTACCACATTATGGTATTTATGGGACCATAAGGCGCACTGTCGACAAACGGGTCTGTGTTCTTACATAAGGCGACCGCATTAAACGAAACAAAACAGTCAGATAAGTCAAACTTTACTCAACGCATTCCTCTTGCTTCCTCCACTTCCGTACCATTAATTCATTAATGTTGAATTCTCTGGTAGCTGCTCTATAAACACCGGAACAACAGTACATGTTATTCTAGTGTTTTTCTCATTTTTGCTATGTAACTTTGCACTGTCCGCTTTATGCTGTAACAAATTTCCCTCGTGTGGGACTAATAAAGGTTATCTTATCTTACATTAATGACTAACCTCATATTGTGGCTGGAGCATCTCAGTTGTTCCCCTTCCCTACTGAAGTTTGGTCTGTTTACAGCAATTTTCCATGCGATTGTATTTGTCAAAAAAAAAACATCGGGAACTTTTATCAAGTGGAAAAAGGTTAGCGTTCATTCTCCAGGTTCACTGTGTTATGCTTTGGTAAGCTAACATAGCAGTGTCGCTAGCGATCACTAGCACAGCATTATATACCATCTAGCCCAACCTAAGTAATCCTACAAACGTCACTATTGTGTAGTTTTCTCTCTACATTCATGTTGGAAGTGATAGCAGAGCTGTACGTTTTATTTTTGCCCAGAAATCTCTCAGTCAGAACATGCTATATCATGTTTAGGTAACTAGCGAAACTAGCGAGCTAGCTATCTGCTAACTTCTAACTCCGTTAAATTTAATAAATTCTGTTTTCATGGATGCCTGGATGTTAAATTTAATTGTTACACCTGGTAAAGCAGCAACACTGATCATTTTATTAAAGATGAAAGTATTTACACAGTGTTCGTTTGGGACCTGACGCGGACGGAGTTTTGGACCCAGATTACTATGAGCCGTGAGGCTCCTCATTACGGTAGCCATAACGCTCAGACAATCAATCAAGCAGTGCGGCTTCGTAGCTTAGCAAAGTCCTACTAAAACATTTTTTGACTGATTTTTGAGCGCCGTGTACTACATAAAATTGGTTCGAGGTCAGTAAACACAGCCAGAATTCATAGATAAGGCGCACCAGAGTATAAGGCGCACTGCCGATTTTTGAGAAAATTAAAGGATTTTAGGTGCGCCTTATAGTGCGGAAAACACGGTACTTGGAGAAAAGAGATGCATTTTGAAGACCAAGAAAAAAACAGCTGAGGGCCTGGCTGGCCACAGCAATCCACAGAGAAAATATGCACTTTCTCTGTTTCATGTATGTCAAAAAACCCACACAAACCTGAAAATCTTTACATTTACAGTGTAAGATGGAATCTATGATGGAGTTGTCAAGTGTTGGTTGACCAGCCTTATGGTATTTTTCCATTTCATCCCGGGCTTGTTTAAATTATTAGACTGAAAGTATTCAGAACACTGCTGCCTGTACTATAGCAAATGCTATGGTATTTATTTTCCCAGAGATCGACAATTACTTGTTTGTTAGAGACTAAAAAGGGGTATAGTGGTTTGTCAGTAGTTAAAATGTTTTCTTTTCACAAAAGAATGAAGTTTTCCCATTGATTCTTCGTGCAGTGTGGTGACTAATTATTTAAACTGGTACAGAGTCTGCACCCACTGTATAAACAGTGTCATGGCGACATTGGCTTCTGTGATAGCAAGTTTGGAAGTGGAAAATCAATCCTCTTCTGCACTGTTTAGATACACTTCGGTTACATTTTATTAGAATAAGTTAATAAAAATCTATTCATAAAGCGGTGTATAGTGTTTTTAAAGTCCCAATTCACAGAAATCTGTCATGAGGCTTTGTAGTTCTGCAGCAGTGCAGGAAACTGCAAACATGACCCTGTTAAAACCTAACTGTGCATTAGGTTAAATTGTTTGTGTGTGTGTGTGTGTGTGTGTGTGTGCGTGTGCGTGTGCGTGTGCGCTCAGGTGGGGGAATGGGAAATATGTCGATGGACCGAATGGGCTCCAGCTTTGACCGTTTGGGAATGTCAGGAATGGACATGAACCGTGGCTTTGGTGGCTATGGAGGCGGGGGGCCGGGCCACATGGGTGGTGGCATGTCGGACAGAGGCTCAGGGTCCAAAGCAGGTTGCCAGATATTTGTGCGAAATGTAAGCAGAAATAAAACCATGTTCATTTATTCTGATTTTCAGAGCTGTTACATTTATTTGTGGACATCCTTATCTTCCTATACAGTCAGTTGTGATAGTGATAGTAGTCATAGTGCAAGCACTATAGTATGCTGCCACTCAAAGTTTAAAATGTTAAAGGGGAATTCAAAGGTCCAGGTTTAGCAAACATCACTTGTGTTAGAATTTCTTGTAACACCCCCCCCCCCCCCCATCATTCCTCTTTTGTTTAGATGTGTTCTCAAGACATTTGTGTATCTAAATTTACTGCTTCTTTAATCAGTTCGCTGTGCTAACATGATCAGTTAAACTTTAACGTGATAAACGTTCATTAGATGTCATTAAATATATTGTTGCTGGGCCTTTGATTGGATAGCTGCATAAGCACACAAAGTTATTAATAATATGTGGTGTGCTTCGATGAATCGTTAATTTTTGCTTGGAGGATTTATGATCAGTTCAATGTCATCTTTGACATGTTTGATTCCTGTACAAATAGGGCTGTTCGATATAACGATATATATCGGCTGACGATATAAAAATGTCTTATCGTTTCATTTTAAGCTATAGTTTGTTTCGTGGTGTTGCAAAATAAACGTTTACGGCAATATTTTTTTCATTATTTTGATGGTCACTGTAGTGGCTATATTAATTTCTTAAAGTTCTCACTTTCTCTTATATTTATAACCACACTACAGACAGACAAGCGTTTGTTTTTATGCGTTGTCGTTAGCAACAACGACGGTAAAACCATCGCGTGTCCGCTTGTTTATGTTCCACATAAACCTTTCACAATAAAGCTCAAGATCCTGTTGTGACTTTTCAAAATAAACTGAATCACGTGAAAGATGCAGTTTTACGGATGAGAAGCAAAAAAGAGCCGTCAGGTGCTAAAAAAAAATAAACCTTAGACTCAAACGTTAGAACAGGCTTTCACACGCAGCACGCCGTGTAAGAAATACTCACAAAGAAAACAGCGGCCCTTACAACTTATGTCTAAAAATGTATAGTTTCATGCGGTTAAAACACTCGACTCCAGGTACGCGACGCCCAGCTGGAAACACTTCACGCAAGTCGAGCTGCCCGAGATTCACAGAATTCATAGAAAATGTTAAATTTTTGTGATTTATATCGTTATCGGACGATAGATGTCTTAATATCGGGATATGAGATTTTGGTCATATCGCACAGCCCTATGTACAAAGGTCCAGCTGTAAATGTGTTAATGCTGACTAATGTAATGACTGAAGTATATTTTTGTTTTATAGCTGTCCTATGATTTGACATGGCAAAAACTGAAAGACAAGTTCAGTCACTGTGGTAAGTGTTTCGCTTATTATAGACCACTGAATTAATTATTCTCTGTTTAATTCATGAACCACTGGAGCACTTTTGGCATTTCACCACAATTGATTGCTGAAAACAAAGGCCAATATCTAAGATTTAATCAGCACTTTGTTAAAGATTCTGCTTTCAAAATTCAGCCGTTGCTCATCCTTTTCTGCTACAGGTCAGGTAATGTTTGCAGAAATCAAGATGGAGAATGGAAAGTCGAAGGGATGCGGAACGGTGAGATTCGACTCTCCAGAGAGTGCCGAGAAGGCCTGCAGGATGATGAATGGAACCAAGATAAATGGCCGAGAGGTGGACGTCCGTATTGATCGAAACGCCTAGATCCTTTGTAGAAGTGAAGCTAACACGTACACATTCAGTCCCCTTGCCAATGATCTTTTGTTTTGTTTTAAAAACACAATTACTTCATATCTTCACGTGTAAACTGTTTCTTTCTTTCGTCCTTTTGTTTGTTAATGTAAACTACATAGCTATTTTGTTTTATAAACCCTTTTTAATTTGTGAGACAGTTTATTTGACCAAATAAAGTTTGTAATTTTTAAACTTGGTGGTTGTAAATTCTCCTGAGATCAAAGTCTCGAAGTTGTTCTTCATTGTCTAAACTTTTGCTGTAGTTCTACCCCCACCCTCCAAGAACAGTGTTCTACATTGGCAACTTCAAATCTAAAAAATACCACAATAGTCCACAGATGAAACTCAGTATGAGCTTATTTTATAGGAACAAAAAGATATTCAAGTATTTAAAGCTTAAAGTTTAGTATTTTTAGTTAGATCGCGAGTGGGTTTGGCATAATCCTGACAAACTGAGTTACCTGCTGCGGCGACCTGTTAATAAGAATACAGCCAAAAGTAGCTGTTTTGTTTAGATTTGTTTGTTGTTTTTAGTTATATTATGGCATGTGTATGTCAGGGGAATACAATACGGACACCTAACTAGACATCAGTGCTGTAAAAAAGATGCATAACAGTGTGTCCTCAAGCTGTTAGAAAGATTTCATCAAAGCTACAGATTAAAACGGGATTTTAAACTATTTTTATTTGAATTAGATTTGCTACAGTTTTGAACAAATTCTTATTTTTGGAAGGTTTTTGTGCTTAGCTTGAACTAAGCTTTGTTGGGTTTGTTCTGAGGGTAGATTAGTGTCTAAAGTCCACGCAAGCATTGCAAACTTGGTTGTGGAAAAAAAATTCATGACAGTTTTAGGGAACTGAAGATGAGTGGAAAGTTTTTCTTTCTTTCTTTCTTTTTTTTTTTTTTAACTATTTATGGCTCTACCATTCTTTCTTGCTCATAAAAGCTTATCAGAGAAATAAGTCTTTGTTTTAGCTCAACCACACTCTTAAAAAGGAGGACAAGGCCAGATGAGTTCAGTTTAAACCTTTTATTTCTTTTCTTATTGGAAATCTGCAGTAAACCTGTGGGAGCAGTAGCTTTTTGTTCATGACCCTTATGTAAGACAAGGAATGTCTTGCAATGTGAAGATGGGCCTTGTGATGATACTGGTCTTGTCTGGATCTTGGTGTACACGCCCAAAAGAATGATCCTAGGAACATTGCCACCTTTGGTAAAATATATTACCAATAGATCATTCACTGAGGTGACCATCACGTATGCGTGCCGTAGCAACTTGATATTTGTACATTTTTTAAAAGCTTAACATTTTTGTTTTTACTCAGAAAATATGGCTTTAGTCCTGAGAAGGTCAGATCTCAGTCGCTGCACAGCCTTAGGGGATTATTCCCAATAATTCCCAGCTCATACAGGATGGACAGAGTGGCAAAGAGGATGTAGCAGATGAGAGAAACGATTCCCAGCTTCCAGTCCAACTTCCATCCGTTGATGTGCACGGCTACGAAAAGGAAGACAATTGAAAGGAGAAGTGTGCAGGAAATAAAGACCAGTCCAGTGCTGTTGACCTCTACAGGGTTGTTGGTGTCCACAAAGGCAGTTTTGATGAACCAAGGCAAACCCAGGCACAGCATGTCAAACACATTAGAGCCCACAATGTTGGACATGGCCATATCGGCTTTCCCTTAAGAGAGAGAGAAAAAAAGTTTACATTGAAATTTTAAAGAATTCAACATTCCTGTATTTTGAGTGAACAAGCTGTGGAAGTTTAAATGTACAGCAAGCAGTTGTTCAGGAATTTTAAATGAAGTTAATGAAACTGGAAATTAGTGTTACCTTCTCTGGCCACCATCACACTGGCCACAGTGTCAGGTATACTGGTTCCAGCAGCAAGCAAAGTAAGTCCCATAATAGTATCGGGGATAGCAAGGGTCTCACCTGCATAAACACAATGCCAACACAAAGTCGGATTACCCTACCAATAACTTCAAGATACAGTGTTGTGCAAAAATATTGAACTACTACTCATTGTTTTATGTCTTGCAAGGGAAATGGGTGCAGAGATTAATGGAAATGCAGTATATCAGGCAAAAACAGTTAGTACAATTTCTGTGTCTAACACACCTGACTGAAATGAAGCGCCAAACCCCTGACAGAGCCTCCTCTATGTTTAATAGATGGCTGTGGAGACTTTTCTCCCTGTTTTCCAGCCTTAAATATAGCTTCTTGACATTCTCAACTAAAGAGATACCACCTCTGTAGTCAAGTCAGTGAAAAATGTGAACAAATTATGTTTTGCGACAGGCTGCTAGTAACAAAGTGCCTAAAGATACAAATTAACATTGGTTCTCTGCGAAGTCGTCTGTAATGTGTAGACACGACACTGGTTCTTCCCTTAGGTTGGGTACTTTTTTTGTTTGAATGACTCATACGTCGGGGTTAAGTTGCTCAACAGAAACATTCCCTTGTAAAGGGTCAGGTAGAAGCGCTGAAAATGACTGAAAAAGCAGCTAAGGAAAACCTTCGACCTGAAGAAAACTGAAGGAACTATTTCTCAAGAACCTAAGCTAAATATCAAGAAATGAGGGGTGGCTCAAAAATACATAGTACTGTGGATCTTCCATAAGAATGTGAAATCCTATTATCAAGTTAAATAAACAGCACATCTGCTCCTTCTCTTTTTGAAAATTAAGTCCATTATTAGACATTGTCCATTATCCAGAATCCACATTCATCATAGGAAAATAAATAAATTTCAGGCAAAGTGATCCAGAAAATAACTCACCAATATTAATCACCACCTTAAATGAATCCTTACAATCCTGCCTGTGAACTGTGACTGGGTTCTCTGTACTGTCCAATTCAGTGCAGAGCCTACATGCCTGGTATTTCCCTGCATGTGAGCCTTTCTGAGAACTATTGGATAATAATCTCATTATACATTAAGTAGACCTGCCACTGTCACATGATAATATTGCCTTTTTACCCTGAACTTGGAATATAGTTCTATAGTTCATTCTTTTCTAGATGGAAGGTGGAGGGGTTCTTGAAGCCCTGTATACACCCAGTCCTCATGTGACTGTGTTTCCCTAGGGGTGAGCCCCCTGTTAATTGCTGTGGCCGGCTAGGCACATGGCCCACTGGAGCTACAACAGACCCCCTCTGAACCTGCCTAGACAATGGCATCCCAGGAATTAACCAGCAGACCAACATGTGACTGTACTCTGCAAATCCAACATTTTTCTCACAAGTTTCAACACTTGTGATCTGCCGTGGCTCAGTGGGTGATGAGCTCATTTACACCTGCAGCTAATCTGCAAAAGTTTAATGAAAACTACAGAATTTTATTACAGACTTCAGAGTTAAAACAGCCATCTTACCAACTACAGTGACCATCCACACCAGCACATATGTAAAAGCTGAGATCCAGACTGCTGACATGAGGAAAGTGATCACGAACCACTGCTTCCAGAACCTTCTCCTGCAGTCAGGGATGGTGAGGAAAAGCAGAGTGATGATGGGCAGGGACAGTACCCACAGAATCCGTTTCATGTCGCTCTCCGGGACGGCAAAGACACTTTTATGCTCTGCTGGTATGAGAGAATATACATCATACATCTCTCCTAGATCAAACACGAAGGCGAATGACTCAAAGTGGTGTTGAAGGAAAGCAGTTTTACTGTGCCACTAAGAAGTGCGCCTTACCTTCAGGAATCTCATTGAGTCCGTGTAGGCTGAGGGACAGGTGAGAGTATCCTGACTCATCGTGGAAGATCCCACTGTCTGTTCTGGAGCGACTGTGGACTCGCAAACTGGTGTCGTCATTCCAACCCAGCAGACGCTGTGTCTCAATCTTTTCATACGAACCTGACCCCAGACACGTGCAGCAAGGGCTCAGCTTCCTCAGGACAAACTCACTGATGCGAAGGTCAAAGCACAGAACCACAATGTAAACGCCGTAGACCAGCAGGAGACAGGCAGCATCATACCTGTCAACAAATTACACAGTTTGAGCATTAATAGTTCATTGATATACTGTAAATGAAAAATATTGTAAATAAAACATACAATGTTGTGAAAAAGCATTTGTCCCCTTCCTGAGTTTTTAGTTTTTTTGCATATTTGTCAGACTTATATGTTTCAGAACATAAACAGATTTTAATATTAGACAAAGATAACCTGAGTACATACAAAATGCACTTTTCAATTATTATGTCAATGTACGTAATAGCAGTGATGAACCATGGTGAGAGCCATTATCCACAGATGGAGAAAACATGGAACAGTGGTGAACCTTCACCAGAGTGACCAGCCTACCAAAAATACTTCAAGAGTTCTTCGATGACTCACCCAGGAGGTCACAAAAGAAACCAGATCACCATCTAAAAAACTGCAGGTCTCACTTCCCTCAATTAAGGTCAGAAAACATACTTTTCAGTGGCTTTTGTACCACTGGATTATTTCAACATATTTTCCATGTTTAATTCTCCAAATTGTTGTTGCTTTTTTTTTTAGCCATGGATATAGTTATGACAGTACCATAAAAAACAAAAAGAAAAAACAAACCTGTAAATACCTGCACTGTACAAATTGTTTTGTGATCTCTTTTAATTTGTTTTTCTCTACATCACAAGAGGCAATAAAACGCTGTAAATGACTTTGTATCTTGTTACCACTCTTTGGGTTATAAAATAGAGTCTCTTATAAAAGGACAAAGTCTTTTACAACCCAAATTCAACCCCTGTTTGTATGTGGTGAAAGGTCTTAAGATGATTCATGTAATGATGAGTCAGTACACACAAATACACTCACCAGTAAACTTTGTTATCTGAAATAATCCCAATGACAGCAGCAACACTGATCCCATATGCCAGGCAATCCCTGAATAGTGGCCAACAGGTGAGACGCCCAGCCTGATAAAGCGAACAAAAATAAGAGGTTTAAGGCTCATAAAACACAACGATCCTTCTGTTTTGGCTGAGCAAAAGTGCAACTGCTACACACAAGTAGTTAGCAGAGGTGTAATGTTTGTCTGTATCTTATGTGTTATCGTGTCAGAATGTACCATAGAGGCTAAAAGTCCACAGGCACCACAGATTCCTAGCAGGTTGTAGACAGCCGATCCCACAATGGTGCTGACCCCAATGTCCCCTTTTGTCACAAACACACCTGACAGTAAAGAGCACATTTTAGCTTTGAAGCCAGGAGCAATGAGGAAGCATGACAGGGAAAAGAAATAAAGAGCTGAAAGTTAAAATAGCCTAGTTCAAGGACACTTTTCCTTTTTGTTCCCATGTAGTAAAGTCACTGTGTCAGACTGGGGAACACCACAAGGACACAGATGATCATACTGGGATTATCATGTCATGATTAGGTTTTTACTTAGTTTGTGATTACCTAGGAAGGCTGTGACTAGTTCAGGTGCAGAACTTCCAGCTGCCATAAACGTGGCTCCTGCTACGTCCTGTGACAATCCCAGACCTGAGAGAGATCCAAAATAACACACACACACAAAAATATAATGCACAGTTTTGTTCAACAATAGCACAATCCCTCCTCAAATGGCCCATTAAAAACAGATTGATATATTTATTTTAAGGATTGGTCTGTGATATTACATTTTATATCCGCCCACTGTGGGCTTGTTTAGTCAGTCAATTGATTTCATGGTTTGATCGTCTATTAAAAAAGGATATGGTTCTTTTGAATAAAATATACTTAGGTGTTGGAGGGATAGGTGCATAAAGTTGAAAACTTTCACAATGTTTGTAGACTTTGCAAAGACCAAACTACTAGTTTACATTAACTATACCAAAGGATTAACTGACTAACAGCTTTATTTATTACTTAAAATGTTCAGTAAGTTAAATATTTCCTCACACTGTATGTGTAGATTTGGCTCCCACCTTGTAAATGAAGAAATTGTGTTAGAATCTGTTGTTATAAATCCCGATTACTCTGATAATCACACAGTGCAAAAATACAATGAGAACATCCACCCAAGCCTATACCTACACCTTACACGCAGATGTTCTATTGGAAACGTGTGTGTTATGTAGAACTTACGTTCACTGATTACTTCTAATGATGGCAGAAAGTAATCGTCGCAGACTATAGAGACAGCCAAAAGCATGTAGAAAATAAGCATAAAATAAATGACGAGCCCTCCGTCCTTCCTCTCCTGCACTGTGAAGAAGCCTTCAGGAAACTCGGAGGACTGTGGCGGGATGCATTCTGTCTCATTCTCTAAAACAGCAGAAACAACACGCACACGCATTCAAATCAAGGCTGTTATAGTAAACTAATGCAAAAATAAGGGAGAAAAAATATTTTAGAACATTTTAGTAAAGTGAACTAAAATCTAATTGTACAGAAAAGTTTCAGTCTGGCCATTTTGGTCGAATACGTCAGTACAGAAAGCCTGAGGGAGATTATCTTTATGGAGACTGGGATGAGGATGAATCAGTCACCTCCAGTAACGGTTGTGTGATAATATCTATTTTCAACTTCTTAAATCTAGCCCCTGACAAATACACGCGAGAATATTATCAAATAAAAGACGAAAGCACCGACTCTAATAACGACTCTTAACAACTCATACACACAAACTGTCACCCCAAGAAGCCAGCAAGTTGCTAGAGCGGTTAGATCTCTTTTCATGGCAGTTACACGGTCTTTCATGCCGATAACACACGACGATTAGTAGAGCAAACATTGCCACAGTTGCTATGCCACATGATTACGCACACATTATTACCGTGACATAACTCATGACACACTGAACAGATTGTCACTATAAAACAAAACTCCCCCAGATTATTGTGGCAGCTCTAAAATGTTACAAAGTAACCCAAAAATCCCGCACGCACTTGTTTCAGATATGCTTACCCACGGCCCGACGCACCCTGACAGAGTGACTTTCCTGTGCTGTTTTTGCTGTTACTGAAAGGAGACTGACCGTGCAATACAAAAATATTACAAATCCCAGAAAGTAAGGTATAAAATCTTTTCTCTTCTTTTTCTGCACAGCTACGGCACTACCCATGGTCATTTTAAAATTAAATAAAACAAAAAAATAAATACGAAATTAGCGATTAATCCAAGGACGCATGTGTGTCTTTACAAGCTTGTAGAAATGTACTAAGGACTAAAATTGGTCGTGAGCGCTGCATCTAACACTACATACGGCTGCAAGCTGCAAAGAGAGATTATTGGGAGGGGGGGACATTTTAAAGTCTGGTGCTACTAAGAATGGGGGATCACGAGTTGCGAGTCATTCCAGTCAGCTTGAACACAATCAAGCCTGAGGCGCAGCAGGGGTGAAATCCAGATTTCTTTAAACACAGTTTTAATGCAGCTTTACAATTGGAAATGTAATGTTTTCTTGATTAAATACACATTTAAGCAACACACTTGCTGAATTTGGAGATGATCATCTTCACGTCAAACAGTGGCACTGTGCGTACATGCAGGCCACTCAACTAGGCCTTTGCGCATATCTGACTCGTGATTGTAGACAGAACATAACCATAAACAGGATTTATTGTAGTTTTAGTTACACCGTAGACTGATACCCATACTCCTCACATGTGAGGAAAAAAAGGGGGTGTGAATATGTGGAGGGACGGGGTGCCAGGGCTTGTTTGGACATGCCCCAAAGTTTCCCCCGGAGCCACAGAGCGTCAGTCAGGAGTGCTCTCTGTGTGGATCGCCTTCGTGCTCCAGAGACATGAAATGAATGGATATTAAAACGATGGATAGTTTATCCTGAGTCCAAAAAAGATGATTTGAAAAAAGGTGAGTCAATTCAATTACTGGTTTTCTGAGAGGCTGCTCTGTGTCTATTGCACGTATTTCATTAAGCAGAAGATTTAACATTACGAATTTATATTATGAAAGCAACTTTAAGGTTGACAAATGCTTAAATCATCAGTCTGGCATTTCTGTTGCACCAGTGAGCAGTGCACACTAGCCGAATGAAGCTGAACTTGCTTGTTTTGTTGTGCTAATTGTGATGAATGATGCCGAGCCTAGCTGTGAGTTAATGGCGCCCCTGTGTGGCATTGACTGGGTTTGTGGTTTGCTGGTCATCTCGTGTAGACTGATAAGGGCCTAGCCTGGAAGTCATGCAACAAAGAAATAATGCAATGTTAAAAAAAAAACCCCTAAAACAACACAAAAACCAACACACGTATTCTGGTAAATAGACGGTATGCTTGGAGATATTTTTTAAAATACTTGCTCTTAAAGGTTTTTTTTTAAATGTTTATTTACAAGATTTTAACTTAAAATTACATAAAATCAAATAAAAAACAATGACATCCAAGCGCAGAAAGTAAGACAAAAACCAAAAAACCAGAACAGGAAAACAATAAAAGAAAAGAAAAAAATAAGGCAATATACAAACATGCAATCCTCTCTCATAGCCAAACCCTAAACAAGGGAGGAGATGGTGATTTCCAGGCTCTAAGAATAGCTACAATAGCTTTTAGCTACAATCATGTCAAACATTAAGGGTTTCTGAAGAGGACGTCTAAGTGCCAGTGAGGTTAGGGAGCAGCCTAGCACTGCAAGTATACAATCCGGCTTTAATTTTAAGTCATAAATCCGGTTATACATATTAAATCCAGTTAACCAAGATGGCGCCGCGTATGGATGCCCTGGTGCTTCAGTGCGTTACTTTTGTCTTGTTTTTGTGCACTTCTTCTGTGTCTGGGCACTCCTCTGGATACTCTTACACCAGAGAAGAGCTCCTTAACTGCAGGACTACAACGCCTGTGGATTTATT